GATGAAATCGGTTAGGGATGAAATTGTTTAGGGATGAACGAGTTTAAGAGTTTTAAGAGTTTAAGAGTTTTTAAGAGTTTAAGAGTTTTTAAGAGTTTTAGTCAAATGCTTTATAAGATAGTATAGATATATGTATATGTATATAACAATAAAACCTATTAAAACTTTAACACTTTAAAAAACAAAAATAATAAATCTCATAATTGATAGACCAAAAATATAATTAAAAAAATGATGTAAAAAGTAGTGTAAATAAATAGTATTATACCAAATCTAGTGTAATACTATTCATTATACTAAATTCCAGTGTAGAAAATAGAGAACCCATTAAAAATGTAAATATTGCTATTTATACAAAATTTAATATTTAGTGTAAGATTTAGGGGCCGTTTACTGAACGCTTACTCGGGTAAACACTTACCAAGTTACGTTACCTTATCGGATGAATATGTAGGACCAAGAATCTTATCCGATAATAAAGAAACAAGGACCGAAAGTCTTACCCGGTAAGTGAGAGTGACAGCTCTTACCACGGTTAGTGCTTACCGGGTAAATTGTTGCATACGATGTTGTTTTCGTGGACTAAAATCTTACACGGTAAGTAAGCGATAATATTGAATTTCAGGGTAAACGCTTACCGGGTAAGTGATTAAGTAAATGGCCCCTTAATGTTAATGAGATGTTAATAACCAAAACTTCCCAAATCTCCAAGTAACACACTCAAACAAGACGTAATTAAATAAACTCTAGTTACATATAGGTGCAATATAACAATGATTCAATAAAAGCAGCGAGCCCCCTTAAATTGTTCTGATTAAAAGGAGATTGGTTTTTTTGTACGGCTCAGATTTCAAACATTTGACATGTCACGTGATAAAATAGAACGAAAAGAGTGATATAGAGATTTGACTCTTTCACAATAGCTAGCGTAATTTCAGTTTTCCAATTTATTTTATTCAAATATTATTTTAATTAAATTTTTAACCATATTTTATAGAGCGAATTACATTTTTATCCCCGTCGTTTGTTATTTCCAATGAAATTGATCCCTGTAGTTTTTTTTTATCACATATTTGTCCTCATTGCGTTTTTTTTGTTGGATTTCGTTCCTCTCACTAATGGCAGTCTGTTAACTTCAATAAAATGAGAGGCAATATGATTATTTTGTATTTTCTAATTGGCTTCTTTTATTTGCAAAAGAAACCTAACACTCCTTTTCTCTCTTTGACCCTTCATGTTACCTCTTCGTCAATTGCAAAGTCTGAACACTCATATGTATACCATCCCTTTTGTTCACCGCTCAAATCTTCTCTCTTTAATGACCCATCTCTTCATCTTCTATATATGTGTGTGTATATCTATCTTGCAAAAACTAGTCGGAGCTTGGACACCTCACCCTCTCCATATATATGTAGATCTACAAACCCCTTTTACCGTCCCTCACCCCTTTAGAACATTTAAGTTAATTACTTTGAGATTTCCTGTTTCGATCAAATGATAGATACAACTCTTATTGCAATGAAGGTGTGTGTTTTGGTCTTGGATCAAGAAAGGAAGGAGTGTAGAGATCTGGGTGACGGTGTGCGCCAACCAAGGAAGATTCGACGTGAAAAAGACTTGTAGTATGAAGGTGTCGGGTTCAATAGAAAGGGGCAGTGGTTGACCGAGAAGGGAAGCAGGAGGGGCGTAGGTTATATAGAAATTTTATTTTATAATACATCATAATTTAGTATTTAAAAGAAAGAAGAAAAAGACCAAAATGACCCTCGTTATAGAAAATCTTAACAGTCATTGGTGGAAGGGACGAAAACCAAGAAAAGTTGCACACGTGAGAGACAACTCTGAAAAAAAGAATTACAGGGACCAATTTATTACAAATGACAATGTTCAGGGATGAAAAATGTAATTCACTCTATTTTATGTATTAATATTTTATAAAACTGAAAAAGAAAATAAACGGAAGAACCGGACCCGGTTTATTTCGGTTAGGGAAAAAGAATTGAATCACACGCACGTGGTTAGATATATATAGACCATACATTAATCGAAAGTTGAGGGACTAGCCATGAATTTCGTTTATAGTATAAGGACTGAAATGAAAATTATGGCAGCATTTTCAGTCTTTCTTAAACCCCTTTCCATGCCGAGCAAGAACAAACTGATTCTACCAAGTCTAAGAAGATCGAAGGCGAAAAAATGTCGAGATCACCGATCCATTTGATCACCTTGGCAACCATAGCTTTCTCCTTAATCTCTTCCTGCGTCTCCGACGTCGTCGTATTGACCGTTGATAACTTCGAGAAGGAGGTCGGTAAAGATCGTGGTGCTCTCGTTGAGTTCTACGCTCCCTGGTAAATGAACTGAAATTAGATTTATGTTTTCATCAACTTTAAATCCTAGCTTTCTTCTTAATCTATTTTTTTTCGTTTACTTTCTATATAATGGTAAAATTTGGATACAAGTGATGATCGGCTTTGTTTTACTGATTTTTTTGTATAAATTTGGCTTTGAGGAGTGATGATTGGTTATCAGTTTCGATTTTGTATCTAGTTGTGATCAATTTAGAAGAATAATGTTATTAAATTTAGTTTTCTCGTCCTAGATTTGATCAATCAAGATCCGAGTAAGGTGAAGATTAATGGGCATAAAGATGATATGATTGTTTTATATTGGTTTAAAAATCAAATTATGGTAAATAACCTTAATTCAATGTCTCTTCTAAGGGTGTTTCTAAAAAAATATGTAGGGTTCATTTGATTTTTTGGAGTAGATATGGTTTGTTCAGTTTTGGATCGAGAACAGGTAATCATTGTACCGAGGCCAATGATAATGTATTTTTGGACGATAATACAATTTGACCATTTTCTCAATCTTAAAATTGATTCGTGTGTATTGGATTAATATTGGTATTTTACTCTCGAATTTAGAGTAGTAATGTCAGTTTCTCTGTTTCTCTATCTACAAATTATATGGTTGCTGAGAGATGTGCCCTTTTTGTATTGATCAAAAGCAATTCTGTTTCACGTGCACATGTTTCATTTTGGAATTGTAAGTTCGACATCTCATTAGATATAAGTTGGTACATGGAAATTTAACAGCTATTTAAGCAAGCTTATGTAATTCACGACTTCATGTGGTAAACTACATGTATGGCCAGGTGCTTGTTTTTGGATTCTATATGTGGTTGTGTAGTTAATACTTTTCATTATTTATTGTGACTTACGTAGAAACTCTCACTAACATATAACTCCAATTATTGTGCAAGATATTTGAATGCATTCGAGCATTTTATTTGTTAAAATGTTTCCAAATTAAGTCTGTATATATTATGGATGGAGCAGTAGATTTAATCTTTCGATAAATTGTATCAGGTGTGGGCACTGCAAAAAGCTAGCTCCCGTTTTTGATATACTTGGTACCAGCGTCAAGAAGACAAAATCTGTTTTAGTTGGAAAGGTAATTTCTTGGATGAGTTGCAGGATATATTGTAGTTTTTAAGTTTTAAATATGCTCACCTTGGGCCTTTAATGCTCCTGTACTTTTTGTTCTGATACGTATTACTGTTGGAAAGATAGTTCAGATTGTTAATTAAATACTTCCTTGACTTTGGCTAATACACAAATTTAGCTATATGAAACATTCTCATTTTGTAGGTTCTTGTTTATATCTGTGTTGGTTCAACCCTCGAAATGTCTGAAAGCGTTTTCTATGTTCATTTATTCATTGTCTCTTGGGTTATGATACTTTTCTGTATTTTAATTACGGTTTTCCAGTTTTGGGCGTGACTGGATCAAGCATATATCTCTAATCACAGTTCACATTTCTTATAATTTGATTGTTATGAGGCCCATTGATCTTTAGCATATACAACTTACTGATGTGTGTGTGTTTATTTAGTGATGAAAGAAGACATTCAATCCTGCATATGCAATAAGGATAGTTTATGCCAGTACCTCTTATGCTTTCATTTCTTACTTATTCTGGTGCTCAGCTTTCAGGAAATGTGCATTTATGCTTTCATTCAATCCTGCATATGCAATAAGGATAGTTTTGAATAAATGATTGCTGATTTGAACTCCTTTGTTGCCTCTTTATTGTTTAGCAGATACTATGATTAATATAGTTATGAATTCACTGTGAAAGAACAGTTCCTTTTACAGATAGCAGTGATCTATCCTCCACATTGATTGTAATGATATCATATATATACTTGTCTTTGTGATGCATGTCTTCATAGGTGGACTGTGATGAGAATAAGGAACTTTGCACCAAATATGGAATTTCTGGTTACCCCTCCATCAAGTGGTTTCCCGAAGGATCTTTGGAACCCAAAGAGTGAGTAATCTTTTCATTGATTTCAGCTAGCTCTTGTCGTTATTCCCTAGGAAACATCCTTTATACGTTGTGTTGATGTTCGAATCCCACCTATGGCCAGTCGCTAAAAGTTTCACTTTGACCCCCTTGGGTGTGGTTCCTGAGTCTCCTTAAAGATACACATATCCTATCTAGATCGTTACCCCTCCATAACCTTCCAAATATTTATTTTTGCCTTTATTTGTTACTGAAAGTTATGTAATCATATATAAAGAGCATAATATAATTATGTTACTGTATACAATTTGCTTTCCTCAGCTATGACGGTTCCCGCACTGCTGAAGCATTTGCCGAGTATATAAATAATGAAGCAGGTAAATTTCTTCTATATATATGTACCGTGTTAATCTGTTTTGGGTGTGTACATTAGTATTTCTCCTTTTATGTTGTTTTTTGATTTTGCTGTCTTTACTCACGAGGACAAGGTCTAATTGAGTTGAAATGTGAAAGGGATATATACAAGCACTAGTATGTCCATGTTCTTTTGCTAAATGATAGTTTCCTACTAGCTTTAAAAAGAACATTTAGTAGTCATATATATATATATATATATATATATATATATATATAAAGTACTAATACTATATAAGAATAGTTACCTTCAGCTTCTTAGGGAAAAAGTAAGTTTGAGGCTTTCAAAAAAGAATTGCGACAGGTAAGAAAACAAAATGTATTAAATTGGATTAGAGTTTGCTAAACAACATGAACTTAGGCTTAGGGGGACAGCAAGCTGGAAAAGGTGATGCAACATGAACTTAAGATTCGAAGAGTGCTAAGATTTTGATGAATTTGTGGATAATTGAATCCCCATAGAAGGTACATCTGCTTGGCTTGGCTAACTAGGATATATTATCATAATCTTGTTATTCCTGTATGTGGTCTTTTTGTTGTAAATCTATTTCTAATATTATTCATTTTCAGGGACTAATGTAAAGATAGGGGCATTTCCCTCATATGTGGTGGTATTAAATTCAGACAACTTCGACAAGATTGTAATGGATAAAACTAAGGATGTTTTGGTCGAGTTCTATGCAACCTGGTAATCAAGTCTTGTTTTATTTACTTATTAGTTTTCATATTGTCCATGACTCTATACATGGATAAGTATTGTGAAGATAAGTGTTAAAGCTGTTGGGATTGCCTGCCAATTTACTGATATCTGCATCTCACAATCTTGTCTCATGTTGCAGGTGTGGTCATTGCAAAAGCCTTGCTCCTGTATGTCACCCTGCTCGTCTCACAACTTTTTTTGAGCTTCTTGAAAAAGCCATCTTTGGTTGCCCATAAGCTAGCTTTTGAATGCTACTTTAAGTAGTGTTTTAATAAGCTGCAAGAGTTTTTTTCCAATTAATATTTCAACATATTCTTTTAGGTCATTTTACATTTTCATCTGGCTTATCAGCTAGTTTTTACCAAACATGACTAGTTTATTAGCCAACGAGTTAGCTTTCAGTTTATCAACTCATTTGCCAAACATAGCCTTAGTTCTAACTGGAACTGAACCATGCTTTTATGAATCTGGTTTTTTCATTTATCTCTTTCTGCTGCAGATCTATGAAACTCTTGCAACTGCATATAAAAACGAGAGGGATGTAGTCATTGCTAATCTTGATGCTGACCGCTTCAAGGATCTTGGAGAAAAGTAAGGAATGCATATATATGGTCATTTTATCTTCCAAACGATTAAATTTATAACCAAAATGAAAGCGCTAAAACTAGAAACTTGATATTCTCAAAGTTATTATGGAGTGATTTTGTATTTGGAGGGTGGATTAAGTTAAAGATTGGCATATGCAGGTATGATATAAGTGGTTATCCAACAATGAAGCTCTTCCCAAAGGATAACAAAGCTGGTGAAGTTTATCAAGGCGATCGTGATTTAGATAGTTTAGTGGCTTACATCAACCAGAAGTGTGGTACTAGCCGTGATGCACAAGGACAACTTACCTCCGATGTCAGTGCTTCCTTACTAGAAAGCATTAAATCAAACTATATATATATATATATATATATATAGGGGATCTAAAAGTTTGCTTTCCTGCTCAAAACAGGCTGGTATAGTTGAGGTTTTGGATAACTTGGTGAAGGAGTTTATGGGTGCTGATGGTGACGAGAAGAAAGCAGTATTTGCCAAGATTCAGGAGGAAGCCGGAAATCTCCACGGTTCTTTTGCAAGGTTATATATTGTTACATTCATCTTCTGATGCTTTTTTTTAGATAATTGGTGTGCTTTATCAAGTCTAGACAAGCCACCCTCTGGAACTCTTCCACCATAATGGTCCCACGATCATCATGGGGAAGTAAATAACATGTCTGTTCAGAGTACCAGACCTCCTACTTATTCTGCAAGGATATCCACCTCTTTATCCACTAGGATAAAGATTTCTTTTAATAGCGTGCATCCATCTTTCTCATTCTTGAGTTTAAATATTGGATTCAGATACGGGAAAATATACATAAAAGCCGCTCAGAGTTGCATGGCTAAAGGTGCCGACTATGCAAGGAATGAAATTCAACGTCTAGAGCGTATGCTTGCCCAGGTAAAGGTTACGTTTTTCTCTAGTTGATAAATAATTATTACCAATATTTACTATATGATCATTTCTAGTACAAAAATAAATCGTAGATTCATTAGATGCCGTCATCAATATAGTGTAAAGAATGAAGTTTCTACTTCTAGAAACTCAATTGTAGGTTCCCGGAAGTCAAGTGCACTAGAAATTTTAATTTTAGTACACCCAACACAATATAACCTACATAGAAGGCAGGGTATGCACATGTATGTCTTGAAAAAAAATTGTCCTGGCAAAAATAAACTAAAAAATGGTCATTTTAGTTCATCATTTGAAAAAGAATTGTTATGATAATGCATTCTGATCGAAATGTTTGACGCTGTCACCGTCACCAGGATCAAGGGTGGATATTAGCTACTCAGTTCCATCAGTTTCTGAAGCTGAGCTAGTATTTGTTGGTTCTAGAATCACATAAAAACATTCAATTTGTGTACATAGAAAACTAACTTCAAAACTGTATTGGTTTGAATGTTACAGCTCTGTATCTTTAACAACCTCTGATATTGTTCTATACAGTCAATTAGCTCGTTGAAGGCCGATGAATTCATCCTGAAGAAGAATGTGTTATCTGCATTTGCTTGATAACTGACATGAATAAGCCTTTTCTACGAGTTGGAGATGATATCTTGGTTTCATAATTATGCAGTAGGTAGGACTCGTTGCAGCAGTAAGTTAGAATTCGACATTCGTACTTAAACGCTCTTGAGGTGTTTTAGTTTGTACGAGTCATGTGCCACAAGCAGCAGGGAGTTTTGAGGAGAAAACAGAACATTGGTTGTAGGTACAACGAATAAGTGATTTGTAAGTCGTTTCACAATAGATTTGTTTGGTTTGTTATACATAACTCGTTACAATACGCAGTCGACTGAAAGCGAAATAACAGGACGTTAAGTGTCAAACGATCTAATCTAATTTATATTTGGTTATTTTCACCATATAGCCAGACACAGTAAACTGGATTTGAAGTAGGTTGTAGTTGATATTCACATGTGAATAAACCACAACAATAATTCTAAACAAATGAGATATTACAATAATAATACAAATGATCAAAATCAAGGATTGTTATCCTTGATTGACGCATTAATCATGATAAAGATTTTATCCTTATCAGTAAGAATTGGGTTTATGAAATGATTGGCTTGTGAAATATTACAAGTCAAAAGTTGCTTGTAACTTGTAATAAATTATTCCCCTTGGAAGTTTGATTACAAAATTTCACCAGATTTTGAAAAAAAATAACTTCAAAGATAAAATCATCTCAATCTAAGTTACAAGTGAAAAGTTATGACATCCCAAAGTTCACTACGAAATATTCACAAACGAATAAGCATCTTTAAAAGAAATCATTTCAATCCAAGTTCGAATCAAAGGTTTGGCCCTCGAAAGTTTACTACAAAATGGTTATGAATCGGGCCCGTAACAGGTCCTCGTGTAACCAGTCCTACCATAACCGATAATCGGTCCTTATTTGGTCCTGAGGCCTATGTGCATCTCTACTCCCTGCAATATCGTACAACCACAACAGGAAAATATGTAATTTTAAACTTAAAAACTTTGCAATTTTCATCAAAATCACCAAGTTTTTGTTAATTTTCATGATAAGGGGTCGTTTACCAAATACTTACCCGGTAAGTGTTTATCAATAAAATTTAACACTATTATTTATTTACTGGGTAAGATTTTAGTCCACCAAAACGACATTGCATGCAACAATTTACCAGGTAAGTGTTCACCGTGGTAAGAGTCGTCACCCTCACTTACCGGGTAAGACTCATGGTCCATGTCTCGTTCTTTCCGGGTAAAATTCTTGGTCCTTACCATATTCATCCGGTGAGGTAACGTAACTTGGTAAGCGCTTACCCGAGTAAGCATTTGGTAAACGGCCCCTAAATTTTCGTCAAGATCACCACATCAATCTCAAGTATCAGGCTAAACTTGTGAATCAATTAAAATTTTACTAATTTCTTAAGAGTGAGATGATATATTGTGGTTGACTACGTACGAGTAAAAACTAGTGTCATATTCATCCATTGGTCGGATACACGGCATGACTTTAAACAAATTCTAAGCGTCTTCGAGCTCGGATCGAATCGGTATTGCTATCCGAGCTCTCTTATTGAATTGCTCATTCAATGAGCATTCTCAATATTATGCCTTGAAGAGGACTCGAACCTCCACGCTCTTTAGCACGAGATTTTGAGTCTCGCGTGTCTACCATTTCACCACCAAGGCATCTTGAAAGTGAATCAGAAATAGACCTCAAACAAAGCGACGATTTGTCAACTTGAATAACGACTACCCCCATTGAATTATTTGGGCCTACTGAGGAAGAGTTACAGACGCGTAAAACAAAAAAATACGCTGATGTCCAAAGATAGAAATCTTTGGAATATTCTGAACCATTTATGAACATCATAGCAAAAATGGTTTTCAAGACCAAAGTTTCCAACGACTCAGCCATCTCTCGGAAAGAATTTTATTTTATTCCTCTGAATAGTAAAAAGAATCGATTCCAGGCCCATCACAAGGAAAAAAATATGTATACATTGGGGAGGAACATATTTACTATTTATATCGTTACTGTTGTAAGATAAATATATTACTTATGTTTATGGATGCTGCACTCGAAGAACAAATCAGTAAAAAGGAAGCTTGTTCACTACTCATCCACCAAGCTTGATATATACTCTTACCAAGCTTGCTCCATACTCTTACCAAGCTTGCTCCCTACTCTTACCAAGCTTGTTCACTACTCATCCTCTAAGCTTGCTCCCTACTCTTTGTTTGGTTATAAATAACCATTTAGCCCCAACATTTTTACACACCCCAGTTTTCTATTCTTCCTCTAGATACAACACTCTCTAGCTAGTATATCATATATGTGTGAGATACGAGAGTGTTCATGAAATTCTTATTCTGGAAGACTTGCTAGTTGATTGTGGATTTAAAGATCCTTGTACAAGCACTTTGTAATCTCCTTGGTGGTAATAATATTCTT